GCAAAACAGTAAAGAGTATTTTGTGTGTGTGTTTGGGGGAGGGGGCAAGTTATTTTTACTCTTGAGATCATGTCCTCCCAGCTTTTAATCAAGCAAGATGTTAGTTCTAAAGGAAATGGCTATATTGGTTACTTACTTACGGTATCAATAACAAACACGAAACAAAAGGGGATTTGTTGAAACAAAATGGAATTTGCTGGTTGATGGTAGTAAGTTTAGAGTGGACCTCAGGCACAGCTGAAATCAGGGACTCGAATAGGGACATCAGAGCTGTTTTTTATCGCTGATATCCTGACTTCGAGGTCAAGAGTGATTATTCCTGAGTTGTGCTCTGATGACCGAAGACACTGGCTTGGATCATTGCCCATCCCTGACCATGTTCAGAGTGGGAATGCCAAGCCACTTCACTCGAACATAACACATTCATTCATTCATCTCTGCCCTCCACTTGCTCACCTCCAGTGGTAACCCCAGCAGCATCTTGCTCCTCATTGTGAGTCATGCTAAATGGGATAATTTTTTTGGAACAGTCTCCATTTTATATTTGAAGTAGAGTGTACCCCCTATCTTGAAGAAATAAATTTTGGATGGCTGAAGGGAAGTTAATTTTCGACACTTGGTCATAAAAACCAGAATTAGCTGCAATCAGCTTATAACGAGTTTCTCAAGAAAAAGGATAAAGTGAAGATAGTTAAGGATGTGGGTATTCCAAATCCTTGGTTCAGAATTAAATGAAAGACATGATTTATACCAGGTTTAGGTACAGAGTGATTTGCTGTGGGGACTCAGGGAGGAGTCAAGCCAAGTCTCAGTAGTCTCTTGGGTGAATAAGAAGACTCCAACCGCTGGTGATAGAGCCTAATTTGATCAGTAAACAGCCCTCAGGAAGCACAGGGGTGAGATAGGCTTATAACATGGAAAGAAGTGCAGAGGGAGACTGGGTTAAGAGACCAGGTAGGTAAACATGAGCATATTCATTCATGAATGAAATTGTAATGGAGAATGAATGTTTCAGTAGACTGGATTCATCTTTGTCCACACAAAAACTACATTTGTAATTTTGCCATTTGTTAAGCTGTTTCTATACTTAAATTCTTGTAAAGTCTGCTGCTTGGCATTCCTGTAGTATTACAGAAAGCTTACTCAGATTTCCATAATCAAAAACAAGTGTTAAACACTGCTAGAGTAATCATTTTCCTACAGTTCTTTCTGTTGGATTTATTCAGTTCTTTAAGGGACTCAAAATAATTGAGGATCCAGTGGCCAAGGATAGAGCAGCTCTGCTTCTCATTAGAGCATCAGTTCTTAATTTAAGGGGAGGTTGGAGGTTCCTTTGAAAAGGTGACAAAGCTGTGGATCCTTTCTCCAGAAAAATGCATATGTGTGAACATTGAATAGTTAGGGGTAGAGGCATTTCTTAGAACCCTAGAGCCCATCCAAGAAGCATGTACTAAAATGAATTTCCTGGAGTTGACTTTGTGAATGAGAAGTTATTATGTTAATTAAATAACCCTTGATGATTTTGAAGACTTTTGTTTTTGCATGTATCCTGCTTTTCCAAACATTTGCAATTTTTATGACCCTAGGAAACAATGTGGAGCACCCATTTTGGTTTATCCTTGTGGAAAATCCTCCAGAGGCTTTCTCAGAGCTGTCAACCTGTGTTAGCTGTGGTGCAGATCTGCCCAGGGGCCTTCTACACCCCTCTTTTTCAACTTGTTCTCTTTCTTGAGTATGAGAAATGTCTCAAAATGCCAGACTGGCCTATTGGAGTGGCTGCGGGTGAAGGAAGGTTTTTGTTCTAGGGCTTTTCGCTGAAGCAACTTGTGCTGTTCATAAAACTGTTTTCCAGGATTTGGTGTTGGCTTGGAGCCTTTGCTACAGAAGGTAATCCAACTGCCTGCTAGCCAGCCTGATCATTTGGTTGTGCTAGATATGGGTAGACTTAGAAAGACTTGTGGATGTGGTCCCTTATGTGGCTTAGTGCCTGCTGTTAGCTGTGGGACCTTTTTTTCCATGCCTGCATTTGAACCTGCAGGCTGAGGGAGACAGAACTTGTGGGATGAGAAAATGCCATTTTTCAGCTTGGAATGTTTGTGCTTAGGGATTGAAACGTGCTGCACAGGTGCTGTGCATGATGCCATTCTTCTCTCTTCCAAATAAATCCTCTGGTAGAAGGAAGGGGAAATTCAGTGTCATTAGCTTGAATAATTCATGCTTTGTAATTGGGGCAGAGTTGTCGAAGGATGCAAAGTAACTTGTATTACTTCTAGGAATAGTGCATATTTTTTAAAAATTGAGTGGAAAAAAAAATTGAGTGGAGTAAATTTTAAGGTCTTAGTGACTTTCTTCAGTGATTTGTGAATGGGGCAGCATCCTACCTAGCAGATAGGGAGGTGCCCCCACGGAGCTGTGCAGAGGAAAGACTTGTGACAGAGAGTGCGGTGGGGGAAACTAGGCCATCGAAAAACAAATTGCTTGTGGCAAGGTCACTTTCTTTTTAGGGATGACAGGGGTCTGTCAGGCAGATTACCTCACTAGTGCTGACCAGGTAATTCCTGATTGACTGGTTTTAAGATTCCATTTCTGGGAGAGCGAAACTAATTAAGCTGTGGTTTGTTGACCTGGGGCTCATTCTGGGCCTGTTTTCCTCTTTTTAGCAATATCAAAACCTCTTTGCTTTCCCCTAATCTCTAAAGTTTGAATTAAATTTATATGTGCTAATGGATATTTCCCCCATTCATTTTCTGTTGGTCTTTGGCTGTAATTAATCCCTTTGCTCTGCCCAGTTGAGTTACAGTCTTATGTATTGTACAGACATGGCTTTGTTGCTTAAACAGTTTGCTCTTTTTATTCTGTAATTAAAAGAAGTATAACTTATATGAAGGAGTTTTATAAGAGGTGGTACCACCCATGTGTAGGTTGTTTTCATTCATAATCTTCATTTAAAGTTTTTTAGCTCTGAAGTACTTTAAATTATATTTTTAAAAAAACTGCTAAGCAATGAAGTTTGCATATGTGTCTTCATTTTCCTTTTCATTCAAGGAAACTATTGTGCTCACAGATTAGTTGTCTGGAAGTAACACCACCTTTATGTTCATCTATTTCAAGATAATAGCTCACATATATCTGTAATCCCAGGAGTGCAGTTTTGACTCCGTAACATTGGAGCTGATAGTCTGCATCTTAGCTTGCCTGTCCTCAGTGTCATTTTCAGGACACCTGTGGGCCTCTTTGCTCTGGGAGCCCATCTGAGTACCCTTCCCTTACACCTGTGAGAGCTGGGTACCTTCCCTGGCCTGTGGCTCTTTAAACACCCCAGCCCCCCAATTGTTCACCTTGAGACAGTTGCTTATCTTTGATCATTGATTCTTTGTGAAAAGGAGTTAGCAAGTAGTTTCCTATGAACAGATTTCCCTTCGAAGGGTAGAAATACCTTTTCTGAATAGATCTTTTTTGGTTTCTTGTTGTTTAGTTAACCAAGTCATGTCCAGCTCTTGAGACCCAATGTAGCCCGCCAGGCTCCTCTGTCCATGGAGTTTTCCAGCAAAAAATACTGGAGTGGGTTGCCTTTTTTTGTTTATTCAGTTCAGTTGTGTCTGACTCCTTGTGACCCCATGGACTGCAGCATGTCCGGCTTCTTGGTCCATCACCAACTCCCGCATTTTATTCAAACTCATGTCCATTGAGTCAGTGATGCCATCTCATCCTCTGTCGGCCCCTTCTCCTCCTGCCTTCAATCTTTCCCAGAATCAGGGTCTTTTCTAGCGAGTCCATTCTTCACGTCAGGTGGCCAGAGTATTGGAGTTTCAGCTTCATCATCAGTCCTTCCAATGCATATTCAGAACTAATCTCTCCTTTAGCATGGACTGGTTGGACCTCCTTGCAGTCCAAGCGACTCTCAAGAGTCTTTCCCAACACCACAGTTCAAAAGCATCAGTTCTTCGGTGCTCAGCTTTCCTTATAATCCAACTCTCACATCCATACGTGACTACTGGAAAAACCATAGCATAGCTTTGACTAGATGGACCTTTGTTGGCAAAATAATGTCTCTGCTTTTTAAAATGCTGTTTAGGTTGATCATAGCTTTCCTTCCAAGGAGCAGGCATCTTTTAATTTCATGGCTGTGGTCTGTTTCTTACTGCTGGCCTATTCTGAAGTGGTAGATTGGAACAGAAGTCACTCTGCTTGCTGTTTGAGTCAGCCTTCATGTATGGAACTTCAGTGTGAATCACTTCCCTTCCTCCACTATATTCCCCTGCACAGATGGAGCTTGTGCATCTGTTTATGATCTCTCCATTTTAGTGAATATTCTGAGTGATTACTGTGTGCCAGGTGTACTGTTTGTTGAATTTCTAAGACCATCTGTATTCCTAAAGTCCTCTGAAGATAGGTACTGGTATCATTTCTGTCTTACAGATAAGAAATTTGACATCCAGAGAGCTCAGTCACTTGGACAGGGTTGCTGGTAAGTAGTCAAGGCCTGGCTCTAGAGCCCAAGGGTTCATGACTAGGGAGGAAGGAATGTAATGCATGCAGGTGGTTGGAATGGTACCTAATAGAATAAGGTAGATCTTGGCAGTACTCTCGGAGAGGTACAGGCCAGGCAGTCCTGGAAGGAAGAGACCATCCAGCTGTGAACGTTGGAAAAGAACTGACATTTAGGCTGGTCTGTGAGTGAGGATAGCTAAGGCTTGGATGGAGACCTGGATAGTGCTGCAAGCAAACACCTGTCCTTTGGAGGCAGTCCCCATGGCAGAGAATTACCCGAGGAGGGTTGTTGCTTTCACTGGACAGATCTTTTCATCCAGGATTCTGTGCCACTCTCCTGAAGAGTCTGATGAGGAAATGCAAACAAGTGGGATTAGACTGCGCCCTAAAAAGGTTTCCACCAGCGCTTTGACTTGGTCTCACCTCCGTTTTCCCCTTGATATTCCAGTGGAAGTATATTGAGTACAGAAGAGGAATTTTGGGGGAGCAGTAAGCTGGAGTGTCATCTTTAGCCCAGGCTTGTTAAATTGGTGTGAGCTGGATGATCTCTTACGATTACCGTGAGCTGCGCAGTCTCTAAGCTCTGCTTCTTGTAGGGTGAAATTGAATTCCAGCTCTTGGATGCTTATTTCACACCTAGGGACTTTTATTTACAAGGAATTTCCTGCCGGAAGCAAACTTGCTGACTTAGATGATTCCTTCTTCGTGTCCGCATGGAACTTCCTACGTAATCAGGTACTGTGTTCACTATTCTGTGTGTGCAGTGCGGATTCAGTGATGAGTAGAAGTGTCTCCCATGTTTATATGCCAGGTACATTTACAATGTGACTGGGGCTTGGGGGAGTGAGACAGGTGCTTCAGAGATCTTAGTATCCTCAGTGGTGAGCAACAACCCAGTGTTAGAACGGTGGTAACTCATTTAACAAGTGTGCCTTGAAGAAATAGATGTTTCATTTTACTTTTAAAACTTTTCTTTCAATTTGTAAAATGGCAAGTCATCTCATTGAATAAAGGTTTGGCTCTGAGTATCTGTGAAAAAATTATCCAGTCAAGAGAAAATGGTAGATGTTAAACAAAGTGCCTGTAAAACTTGACTAGTAAGCTAGTTGGAAAGTACTGGGTTGGCCAAAAGTTTCGTTTGCTTTTTTCCATAAGAACTGTAGTAGTGGTTAGCTGTCTTTAATGTCATCTGAAACAGCTTTGTTAGATTGTATGGTGACGGCTGTCATATCAGCATGCATTTTTTTTTTTTTAAAAAGTGAATTTTTGTGTGTGAAAGTGAAGTTGCTCAGTCATGTCCGACTCTTTGTGACCCCATGAATTTTTGTGTAGTCATCTTAATATTGAAGATGAAAGAAGAAGCAACATTTTCAGCGTATTATGCTTTATTGTTTCAAGAAAGGCAAAAATGCAACTAAAAAGCAAAAAGATTTGTGCAGTGTATGGAGAAGGTGCTGTGACTGATTGAATGTGTCAGAAGTGTGTTTTGAAGCTTTGCGATGGAAATTTCTCACTATACGGTGCACCATAGTTGAGTAGACCAGTTGAAGTTGCTAGCAATCAAATTGAAACATTAGTGGAGAATAATCATTGTTACACCAGGTGGGAAATAGCTGACATACTCAAAATATCCAAATCAAGCGTTGAAAATCTTTTGCACCATCTTGGTTATGTTGATCACTTTGATGTTTGGGTTCCACATAACTGAAGCAGAAAAAAACCTTCCTGACAGTATTTCTGCATATGATTTCTTTACTGAAACGTAACAAAAATGTTGTTTTTTTTTTTTTTTTTTTTAATAAATTGTAATAGACGGTGAAAAGTGGATACTGTACAGTAATGTGAAATGAAAGATTTGGAGCAAATGAAATGAACCACCACCAACCACACCAAAGGCCGGTCTTCATCCAAAGAAGGTGATGTGTCTATGGTGGGATTGGAAGGAAGTCCGTTTGTTACGATCTCCTTCTGAAAATAAAACAATTATTTCTAACCAGTACTGCTTCCCGTTAGACTAGCTGAAGGCAGCACTTGATGAAAAGCATCTAGAATTAGTCAACAGAGAATGCATAATCTTCCATCAGGATAATGCAAGACCACATGTTTCTTTGGATTAGGCAAAAATTGTTACAGCTTGTCTGGGAAGTTCTGATTTGTCTGCTGTGTTCACCACACATTGGACCTTTGGATGTCCATTTATTTTGGTCTTTATAAATTGTCAATGGGAGAAAATTAAATTCCCTGATAGACCATAAAAGGCACCTGAAACAGTTCTTTGCTCAAAAAAGGTAAGTTTTGGGAAGATGGAATTACAAAGTTGCCTGAAAAGTGGCAAAAGGTAGTAGAACAAAATGGCGAATACATTGTTGAATAAAGTTCTTGGTGAAAATGAATAATGTCTTTTAGTTTTACTTTAAAAACCAAAGGAACTTTTTTCCAACTCAGTACATTATCAAAATATAATAGATTTATTGCTGCATAATTCTGTTGCTCTAAAACTCTAAAATTGCATATTTGAAATTCCCATCCTGTGGTACTGTGAGCGCCTGGCTTTTGTCACAAGACCATTGCCCAATTCCATGTCTTGATTGTTTGCTGCTTCTGCACTCCCTCCATATTTTAGGGTCCAGTTTGGAGCATTCTTATTTTACAGTGATCTGCCCAGTTTCTAGGGTTTCCCTTGTGGCTCAGTTGGTAAAAAAAAAAATCCACCTACAATATGGGAAACCTGGGTTCCACCCCTGGATTGGGAGGCTCTTCTGGAGAAGGGGGAGGCTACCCACTCAAAGCAGTGCTCTGCAGTGGAACTTTGTACAGTCATAGAAACATTTGTTTTCTGGGTTATTTAGTGTGTTAACACTACACTCACATGGCACATAAGGCCTTGAAAGTGGCTGGAAGACTAACGTTCTTGGTTTGACAGATTTTAGAGAAGCTGGACTCATTTTAGTCCCATGGTGCTTTCAGGTATCTGTGTTAACATTGGCCTGTGGGCAGGTGGATGTGCAGTTCTAGAATTCAGGGGAGGGTTTGCCAGACTTGAAGGCTTTGGGCAATTGTCAGGAAGGTGAGAGAAGTCTCCCTAGGGCTGTGGGGGGAGAAATGAGGGACCTGGGGCCAGCATTTAGATGAGAAGATAGTGGAAACTGAATCCTGATTAATGGATAGGAAAGTTTCTCCTCTATTCCTCTCCTCCACCCCTAGGAGGTTGGGAGAGGAATCCAAGAAAGGGCCTGGACTTGAGAGCCACGCCTGTGCAGGATGAGAACTCAGAGAATTAGCCCTCATCAGGGTGAGGTCTTTGCCTTCGGAAACTATTCATCCTGGAGTTATCTAGAAAAGATCATGTTCTCTAGTCTCTGCCTGTCTTTATAGCCTAGAAAATCCCCCACCCCTCTTTGGAATTTGCGTTATCTGTCATCTTCCCTTCCACTCTCATTTTTGTGACCTTTAGGGGCAGGGCTGGATCATTTGGCCCCATTACCTGTTTGTGGAGAATGTGAACTAAGGTTCAAGCAGAGATTGAAGACTGAGCTGTAACTCTAGAAGGTGCTGGTGGTGGGTCCACCTGGAGTGAGTCAACTGAGCAAGGTGGGCAGAAACCTGCCCACTGAGCTGTTGCTGGTGGGCTGCCTTTGGTTTTACACGTTTCGTGGTTTACAGCTCGTGAAACGTGAACGTTTTCAGAGTTAATAGTGTTTATTGAGCACTTTCTGTTGCAACTCATTTGGCTCTTACACAAGCCTTGTAAGGGCCTTATTTCCATTTTAGAGTTGCGGAAGCTGCAGTGACGCTATCCACCTATTTTTTCTGGTCAAAAATGCATAAGACAATTTTGCCATCTTAACATTTGTAAGTGTACGATAGTGTTAACTGTGTGTACATTGTTGTGCAATAGATCCTGAGAACTTTTTCATCTTGCAAAACTGAAACTATAGCTACTGAAAACTTTCACCTTTCCTCTCTGCCTAGCCTCTGGCAACTACATTCTACTTTGTTTTTAAGAGTTTGGCTGTTTAAGATACTTCATACAGTGGAGTTAAGCAGTCTTTGTCTTTTTACGACTGACTTGTTTGACTGAACGTAATGTCATACAGGTTCATCCATGTTATCATTAATGCCAGGATTTCCTTATTTTTTAAAAGGCTGATTACTAGTCCAGTGTATATACACATACCACATTTTCTTTATCCATCCAGGTGTTTGTTAATGGACATCTAAATTGCTTTCACTTCTTGGCTATTTTGAATATTTATTTATCTGTTGGGTCTTTGTTGCATCACATGGGATCTTCATTGCGGCTGGTGGACTCCATAATTGAGGCATGCAGTCTCTGGCTGGTTACAGTGCGTGGGTTTCGTTCCCCAGCCAGGGATCCAGCCTGTGTCCCCTGCATTGCAAAGTGTATTCTTAACAGGGAAGTCCTGGCAATTTTGAAAATGAGTTAGACCTTGAAACAAGCTTGCAGAGGACTGTAAACTTCTCATGTTCTGATTTTGCTCTGAAACTGATTTGTGATTGGGGGATTTTTATCAGGCAGCTGTGAAAGATGGTCAAAAGGTATAGGAGATGGTTCAAGCAGTGGCACTGTGGTATTCAACTAGCTGTTTTTCAGGGCATCTTAAAAGAAGCGACTGGTTAAAATTGAAATGGATCCCACCCCATCTTGGTTTCTCAAGGTCTGTCAGTTACCCCACAGCCCTGGCTTCTCAACCCCCAAAGTACCAAGACAGTGTTTTCCACAGCCACTGGTTTGACTTATGTCTTTTTTTTTTTTTTTTAAGTTGTGGTATAGTTGATACACATTATTATATGTTTCAGGTGTACAACATAATTCACACTTTGAAAAGGTTATATTCTATTTATAGTTATTTCAAAATATTGGCTATACTCTCCATGACTTGTATCTTAATTTCAACCAGTCTAACCCTAAAAAGACTCACAGAATTATTGTAATTGAACATTTCTCCATGCATTGCCTCAAAATGTGACCAGAGCAGCTTACTTTTTAAATCCTGTAAGTGGGAGGGCCCTTACCAACTCATGAGCAGACATATCAGAGATGAGAGGTGTCTGTAGCACCAGTCTCAGCAGACCACGTCTCTGCATTCAGTGTTCTGTGTCTTAAGCCTGGACGACTTTAGTAATTTTTTAATTTATTTTTGGCTGTGTTGGGTCTTAGTTGAAGCACACAGGATCTTCCTTGCAGCATGCAGGATCTTCGTTGCGGCTCATAGGCTTCTCTTGTTGTGGCATGTGGCTCACGTAGTTGTGACTCAGGGGCTCAGTTACCCCATGGCCTGTGGGATCTTACAGGGATAGAACCCATTTCCCCTGTATTGGAAGATGGACCACTCGACCACCAGGGAAGTCCCAAGCCTGGGTAATTTTAATTGCTTCATCCTGCGTCCCTGTGCTTCCTGAGTACCAAGCATCTCCTTCAAAGGGGAATGCAATAAACGAGACAGTTTGCTCCCCCAAAAGGAAGCAGCTTAGATTGCCCTGCCCCACCGCTCCCCCCCACCACCATTTTCAGAAAATCTGGTTATATCCTTATAAATACGACTATCCATTCATCAGTTCATGAACATTTCAATTTCTACCTTTTGGCTCTTGGGAATAATGCTGTGAACATTCATTTGCAAGTTTTTGTGTTTTTCTTTCTCTTGGCTGTATACCCACAGTAGTATTTCTGCATCATATGTACGTTTGAGGAGCTGCTGGACTGTTTTCAGAAGTTACTGCCCCATTTTACATTCTCATAAACAATGTATGAGGACTGCAGTTTCCCCATATCCTTGCTGGCACTTACAAATAATTTTTTGATTATAGCCTTTTTTTTTTTTTTTAATTTTTTGATTATAGCTTTTTAAACCTAGCAGAAGTTAAGTAGTTTTCAGCTTTTGTCTTTTTTTGTTTTTTTTTCTTCCTTCTGATCTTTGAGTTGAGCAGCCATTGCAAGATACTTTGTTTCTCAGTGTTCTTGAAGGCACCTTCCAAAGGCGCTTCCACCCAGATGAGTCTTGTCATGTGACACAAGTTACAAGGTGACTGAATGCACATGAAGCACCTGGATGCCTGGTGTTTTAAAGAGGTTGAATTTTAAGTATTTAATGGACTCGCTTTCTGTAAACTTTTAATCTAGTAGTGTCTTGATTTTTTTTCTTTTTAGATAATACAATGTTGGGATCTTGGGGTGAGGGTTCCAATCCACACTCTCCTTCCCAGTTTTTAGTCATAGGCACACATGCGAACCTGAATATAAAGATGTGTTTCAGAATCCATCTTGTCGTACATGTTGCCGAACAGCTTCTAGTCGAGGCCAGAGGATGCAGACTTGATTCATCAAGGATCTTAGGTAGACTGTGCATCAAGTTTTGAAACCAGCTGTAATTTTGAAGTCCTTTTTTTTTTTTTAAACTGTTAAACTGCCAGTGTCATTTTCTTGTCTTGGGAAGGGAGTGAGCTAGTCATTAAGTGTTTATGCTTAGCTGAAGTTCTCTATTCCTCCGGTGTGTTTTATGCTGACCGTTAGAGCATGCTGAAAATGGAATGTACTACTAAGGAGGTGAGCAGATGAGCTATGACTGATGGTATTGAAGCTGAAAATGGACTCACAGGCTTTTGGCAGTGATCTGGCAGACTCCTTAACCTCTCGCCTCTCTTCCCCTATCAGTAAAATGGGATGACAGAAGCACTCCACCTACCTGGAGATGGTGAAGATTTGTCTGGGATCAAGTGGCCCTACTGTTAGTGATGAGAATCAGGAACAGTAGAGGATTGCTTCTGCCTACTCTGGGGTGGTCTGATTTCAAGAAGATACTGTAGTCATACTGATGAAAGCTGCAGTGGTTTTCACTTTAAATTCGAATGATTCTAATTTGTTTCTCAACTCGAGGGGACCTGGGACTACCTG